AAACCTGTCTAATAAATACGTCAGTAGAAATTTCCTTTAGTGTGGCTTCAGTCTGGATGGAATCTTATTGCCACAGGAAAACCCACTCTTGATAGGCACCACATTGCAGAATTTGACATTTATTTTTCTTTTGAAATAAGTGGTTATAATATACTGTATTTAAAAGTAGTAACAGCACATACACACACACAAAAGAGAACATTTTACTGGTTTAAAAGGCAGGGGATCTGAATAGGGAGAGGATTGCTCTTACTGTAGAGTTCATTATACCAAAGTGACCGACTCTAAGCTAGGCTTAATAAGATCTTGACTTTTCTCTCAGAGTGTGGGTGAGCAAAATACATGTACAGTGGTATTTTTGTTAAGTTGAATTTCCTGACTTTTGGTTTGAGGTTTGTAGGAATCTTAAAATGGTTGGCTTATAGTGAAAACTCAGATAATTGGACTGATTATGAATATAGAAATGAAGATACCATCTTTTGTATACAATGGAAATGTTCTCTCTATTTTGGAAACACCAGCTTATCTGCAGCATGAACTCATCTATGCAAAAGCTCTTAGATATTTTATAAACATACATAGAATATAATCAGCATTGTATATTAAATGCTAACAGCGTGTGCTTTAAGAAGAAAAAAGTTCTATCGATCATTTCTACTGATCATTTTAACAGCAGAAAGTGCGGGGTCTGGAAGATCTCCTTGTAAATAGGAGTGTAGTGACCTCATCCACGCTTTCTCTTTGCACATTGAGTTATTTCACAGTTATATGCAGCCTGGCCATATTAAGTGGGAGATTCTAGAAGTCACTCATAAGTTTAAAATTGCATGCCATTCTGAGTAGCGTGATCAGATCTATCGCCAGGTCCCTAATTATCACTTTATCCAGTGTGTCCACTCTGTATGTGCTGCCTGCCCTCCAATATTTAGTTAACTGCTCAGCTATCAGATCAATCTGCGGTATTGAGGGGAATATGCACAATAACCCTTATACTACCTAACAATAGTCTCAAAGTACAAAGGCACCTGGGTACACCAAAGGGAACAAGAAAAGTGCTCCCTTAAGGGCAAAGGTGAGTGCTCAACTTAATGAATAAAAAACGTCATATGCTGAGATCACCAAGATTACTCTCAGTTATTGCTAACCCCTTTCTAACCTCTTTTTGTGCCTGATTTATGACTTAAACATAGACCTAGGTGAGTACGCATCACATACATGCGTACAAATAGGGCTCAGCATTGCCTGTGGCTTCAGGCATCTGGCAGTGGTTTTGGAATGTATCCATAAGCAGGGAGACTATATATCAAATGTTTACTGTGAGTCAGAAGTATTTTATAATAAAGATGAACAGCAATCAAGACAACTTCGTAAGGCCTTTTCTATTTACCAGTTTGCTAATGTAACAAAGATGAACGGGGATGTTATGTAAGGCACTTGCTACTCCTGTTCATGTATTTGTGGATGATTACAGAGGGACAGATGGACACAACAGCAGGGACAGCAATGATCTGTAAAGTGTGGGGTTCACGACAGGAGCAACTTGACTACCGTTGCCTGGAGCGCAGCCTTCTTATCGTTTATCCCTTTAAAAAAAGCAACAGATTACCTTTTAGGATAATTTTAGAGTTACAGAAAATTAGGTAGCACATAATTCCATATGCCTTTTCCTTTTATTAACATTTTGTATTAGCATTGTGATTTGTTAAGTAGATAAAGCAATTTTGGTAGATATGAACTATATATATATATATATATATATTTGCATATGCATGCTAACTATTAAATGTTTGATAAATATAAACAATGTGCATATGCACATATATTTTACTTCCTGGTGCTTGGAAATAAACATAGGACCTCATGCATGCTAATCAGGTTTGCTACCACGGATCTGTGTCCTCCAGCTGTCATTTTATATTAATGATTATTTTTTTGCCAAGTGTGGCGGGATCACATGCCTGTAATACTAACACCTGGAGACTTTGTAAGAGAGCTGACAACCTGAGAATTTGTGATCAGCCAGGGTCACATGACACAATCCTGCCTCAAACAACACTAACTGACCAACCGACCAAAGCAAGCACTTTCTGTATCGTTACTTCTGGTTTTGTTCTGGTATTTGAGACAGAGCCTTATAGTCTAGGTCATAGGTCTGGTGCGGGAGAATTGTCTGCATTCTGTCAATCATATTTTAAATAAATGCTGATTGACCAGGCAGGAAGTATAGGCGGGAAAACCAGACAGGAAGTAGAGGTGAAGCAAAGGGAATGGGAGTATTCTGGGAAGCAGGAAGTTCCTTCCCCGGTCCAGCTCAGACCACCAAAGAAGCAACATGTGAGCTGCCCAGCTAGAAAAGGTACTGAGCCGTGTGGCTAACGTAGATAAAAATAATGGGCTAACGTAAGTTATAAGAGCTAATAAGTAGCCAGAGCTAAGGGCCAATCAGTTTATAATCTTATGGAGTCCTCTTATGGAGTGATTTTCTTTGGGGTTTTCCAGCTGTGGGGAACCGGGCGGGACAGATACTCCAACAAGCAGGCCCCTTAATGTTGCATAGGTCAGCCTATGTAGTCCAGGCTGACCCCGTACTTGTGATTCTCTTGCCTCTACTTCCTGAGTGCTGGTGTTACACACTGTCCCTTAGTTCTGTTGATTTTTATAAATGGCCAGATCTCATGTGTTCTCATTTGTTTCCCGTAGCTGTGACAGAACACTCTGATCAAAAGCAAATTAGGGAGGAAAGGGTTTATTGGGCTTATACTCTAGGCCAGTCTGTCACTGAGGAAAGCTGGGGCAGAAACTCAGGCAGAGCCCATGGAACAATGCTGATGATTGGCTCAGGAAGTTTTGTTGTTGTTTTAAATATGGTCCAGACTCATTTACTTAGGGGTGACACTACTCACCGTGGACCGAACCCTCCCACATCAGTCAAGACAGTCTGTCACAGACATGCGCCTCCCCCCCCCACCCCCCGCCTGCCCTGGGCAATCTGATTGAGGCAGTCCTTCAAGGAGGCTCCCCTTTCCCAGGTGATTCTTAGTTGTATCACACCAGCTGGGGCAGGCCCAGTGCAGGCCTGGGGCAGACCCTGTGTATGCTGTCTCAGTCTCCGTGAGTTCATGTGAGCTTTGATTGTTGATTTAGAGGGTTTTGTTCTTCTGGTATCCTTCATCCCTCTGGCTCTTATACTCTTTCTGCCTCCTCTTCCTCAGGGCTCTCTGAGGAGCCTGAGAAGAATTTGATAGAGACATTATGTGTAGGGCTGAGCGTTCCAGGGTCTCTCACTCTCTGTGTATTTGTGGGTCTCAGTATTTGTTCCCATCTGCTGTAGGAGGAAGCGCCTTTGATGATGGCTGAACAAGGCACTGATCCACTTCTCTGGCTGGAGTCTAGATACACTACACTCTATCTGTTCGATTATTACCTTTAGTTAGTTGCTTCAGTGTTGTGTGGATTATCCAAAAGGCTGTTAAAATACCCATCAGCTTTTCAATTTTGGGTTTAATTGCATAAACACTTATGAGCATGATTCTCGACTGGATTGTGTGTAGCTTTGAAAGCAGACTGGCTTGCTGAGGGCTAGGGGTTTAGTTCAGTGATGAAGCAGTGTGGGACTCTTATCTAGAACCCTGCAAAACAAGCAGCTAACAAGAAGCCCAGCCTCCTAGCTGGGTACTTAAAACATTGTTTATATACTTAACCTACTTGCTTTTAGTAAGACAAAGTCCTGCCATGTAGCTCAGGTTGGCTCCAAATCTTGTGCCTCTTGAGCTCAGGGAACATGGTTGACCACTTTGCATTGTCATCAGCAACGTCATGGAGTCCTGCTCTCCAGCGTCCTCATGAGTGGAAATGGCTTTACACTGAGCAGTCGTGAGCTTCTAATCTCTCTCATCTTTGATTCCATCCCCCATGTGCTGTCCCAGTGTGCTATGTTTTGATTTCTGTAATTAAAATGTAAAATAAGATGTGTGGGGCTCTGCAAGCCCTTGGGGGAGGCCAAAGCAAGAAGATTTTGAGTTTGGGGTTAGTCAGGGCTATACAATATGACCCAGTTCAAAGAAAGGTTAAAAATATTAATGCTATTTCTTGGTATGGTTACGGTGGAAATCATTGATGGGAAGTTTATCTTAAGATATTGCTATTTTCCATCTTACACTTGTCAGAATGGCTAAGATCAAAAAACACAAATGTCAGCTTACATTGAAAAGGCTGTGGAACAAGGGATACTTCTTCATTGTTGGTGGGAGTGAAAACTTGAACAGAAACTTTGGAAGTCAGTGTGGTGGTTTTTTAATTTTTTTTATTTTTATTTTTTTTTAGAAAACTGAGAATCAATTTATCATAAGATTCAGCTATACCATAAGATGCTCAATCCTACTACAAGGACACGTGTTCCATGTTGTTCATAGCAGTGTTATTTGTAATAACCAGAACCTGGAAACAACCTAGGGGATTGGTGTCTGGACTGGAGTTTATGTTGCACCCTAATGTGAAGCTTCCAGGCTCACAGCGGTGCTCCCAAAGCAGAGCCTCCATCTGGTATCCCTGGCCTATGGTCAGTACAGGACCAAAGACGTTTCCAGATTCTGACCAAGGAGAAGAGTGGAACTCCCGCACTGGGGACCCGGAAACTACCTGATCAATTTCTATCTTTGGTTTCTGGCAGTTGGGGTGCCTCTCAGAAAGGTCTGACACCATAGCCATTTACTACGGACCATTTTAAACACTTTCACAAGCGATATGAGGTGCGACAGCTGAACATCAGTCATGCTCGTGTGTAATTTTATGATTCGCATGCTTTGATAAAATAATGGAAGCGACAGAGTATCTTTTAAGTTTGGACGTGCACATAATATGATAGAGGGGAAGAAAAGGTTAAATCTGAATTTTGATGGCACCAGTCAGTCTGCATCACATCTGGAGGACACGACATTTTCAGACCGAACGTGTTCCTTTCGAGAAAGTCACTAACCGAACTCTCCATGTATCTTTTCTAGGCGGCACCACTGTCCACATCTTCCTACGAAGATTTATGACAAAACAGAGAAATCATGTCTTCTCTCCGAGTACACCGAGAATTATCCTATCTATGAGTCTTACCTGCCCAGAGATTCCTTTAAGCCCAAGAGGGTGTACAAGAAAGGAGCCATACCGATGGAGGGCCTGACCACAGCCAGGTGAGGCAAAGGAAGCCATGGAGAAAGTGGGCGGAATACAAAGCCGTAATGAAGAGTGTTTATCAGGACAATAACTGTGGTGTTAGTGCAGTGTGGACGCGCAGCATTAGGGTCTTAATGCTCATGTTCTCCATATCTCTGGAAGAGGATCTTCTGCTTGTTGGCTTCCTTAACTGTTCCCAAACACCCTCTTACTGAGAAAGAATTCTGGCTTGTTAAAGTGGGGGTCAGGAGGCTAAACTGGTCTGTCTAATTAAAGTGGGAAGTTAAGTATTGAAAAAAAAAAAAAAGGAGAGAGACCACTACTGAAAAAAGAGGTTTTGGCTTTATGGCAGCCTCCGCACCAACTTGGGTGGTTAAAAAAAAAGAGTGGTAAGAAAGAATGGGTCCTTCTGATGTTATATTATCGATTTTGAATTTAGAGACCCCACAAATGTTCAGGGTATGTAAAGAGCATTTTCAATTTTTCAGTTGCTCCTGATACACTCTAGCTTATTTCCAAGTTGAGATTGTTGGGACCTAGGGCCATGCAGGCACGGACCTGTCTTTGGCAGTGTCCTGGAGGTCTTTATTTCCAGGGGCTGGGGAAAATCCTCAATCTGAGGGTTCAGTGTTCACAAGACTATGCATCTCCCATGACAGTTCTGCTAGTGACCTCCTGATGGAGATGCTCGGCTTGGTGATCTAGTGGAGCTAGGAACATCTCTGAGTGAGGTTGGGTGGGTTTCAGACCCAGGGAGTCAGTCTCCAGGTGAAACCTTTCCAATGATGATGTGTTCATGACCTCCCGATTCCTCATGCCCCAAAGGCAGGATTTCTGTGCTATGGAACCCACAGTACCCACCATCTTTTCCTTCACAGCACTCAGACATCACAGGTACTTGGATACCTCGCTGAATGTCTACCTATTGGTCACTGCTTGCAGCAGAATTTTGCATGGTTTTAGTGACGATTCCAGGTGGTTCAGGGTGGAGCGTGACATCTTTCACTCAAAATAACGGAAACTTCCTCTCTTGAGATTTTTGACTTGGAGGTGTTCTTATCTAAAAAACAAGTTCTGTCTTCTAGACCCATAGAAGCTCTGTCTATGAGTTAGGGCAGGCAGTCCTTTAAGGGGAGAAATGAAACTAAGGGGTTTCTGAGCTTGGTAGGAACTACAGGACAGGGACATTTTGAGAATGGGGTGTAGCTGAGGGACCTGTCTGACACCAAGCAGTTGTTGTGAATGACTTGGTTTTAAGCACAATTGTTCTGACTCCTAGTACGTTTGAACAGTGTTAACGTAACCGCTTTCTCAACCTACAGCTCATTAAATGATTGTCAACTTCACAGTCTGGGCTTCATTTAGCTAAGAAAATATCATCTCTAGGGTTCAGGAGCTTGAAGCAAAGACTGTGGGATGCTCCCCAGCATTGCTTCTCTTTATAAGAGACGATAGGGCACATCTAGGAGGAGTCCTGTGCACATGCCTGAAGATGCAGTGGTTAGAAAGGGAGGTGTTGGGAGGTGATGTCAGACTTTGTTTTCTCCTCCCAGGTGTAGCTGTTCTCATCCCTTTACACCAAGTTTTCAAGAAACAGAGAGCCCTTTATTGGGAAATCAAAAGCACTAACTTCAGACGATTTATAACAGGCCATTTCTGTGCTTTAGTATAGGAGAGGGTTGCTTGAGGCTCGGATGTTGGGATGTTGGGAGATGCGCTTGTTCACTGTCTAAATGTTACTAGAACAAACACACAATGCCCTGGGGCAGGACCCGGTCCCACCTCCCAGCTCGGAGGCCCTCAGCTGTGGTAGCCCTACCTACCCTCCTCTTTCCCAGATGCTGTTTTGCGAATCATAAAATTAACCTCTGTTAAGCTGCCTTTGCCTGTGTCATTTGTAACAATAAAACAATAAAACCATTTCCCAGCAGGTGGGCCTCAGTCAGAGCCATAGCAACAATCAATCCAGCTTACATCAAGAGGTCCCCAGCTACTGAAAGAATTTCCCAAACTATTAATGATTACAGGGCTTTACAAAGAGAAAGGGGTGGAATCCAGTTACTAATGAGGAAGAAGAACAGACTTGGGAGTGGGGTATACCTCGGTCATAGGACCTTGTCTTGTGCCAGGTCCTATGTTCAGGCCTTGAAGCTGACGTCTCAGGCTGGGGGGCGGAGGGAAGCCAATGGGGACTTTTTTTTTCTCTTTTATCCTACCCTAGCAAGAGGAGCCAGTCTCAAACTCACAGAGCAGTCAGTGTCCTGTATGGATCTCATTGATTCTCAGTCCATGGTTGTTGGGGAGGTTTTCACAGATGGAGGAAAAGTGAGCTCCTTTCAGGAATGTAAAGCAGCCTGCCTCCGGAGGCTTTTAGAGGAAGGGGTGTGTCATCCCATGTCTGCCTAACCTCTGGGTCTGCATGGATGGCCACCCCTCTGTTCCCAGGTCCCTTATTGCCACAGCACCTCGCTCACTTCCCCATTTACAGGTGGACTCTGCGTAGTGTCTGAGGCTGGACCCGGGGCTCCCACCTGCTGCATGAAAAAGTCATTGGTCCCGGTTTGGCTGAATTTGGTGATTAACTCCAGACACAAAAACCCACCTGGCTTCTGGAAAGGCTATCAGCGCAGCACGAGGCATGATTGCAGCTGCACTCAGCTCTTGCTGACCATAAATTGTGGGGATTTAAAGCAGGTGTCAGAAGGGGAATGCCTGAGATTTCCAGCCCTTCTTACGGGAAAACCTTTATTTTTTTTTTCCTTTTTAAAAAATGCGCAGCCCTTGGTAATTCTCTTGCAGAGGATTTGCCTTTAGTTCAACTAGCTCTGACATCAACTGATAAAGAAAAGTTGTGTTTTTAGCCTCGTTTCCCATTCGGTATGTCCCTGGATGAAACACTGGGGCCCCCACTCGGGGCAGTATTTCTGTTACCTTAGCCAGCTTCAGTGGTGTTAAGTAGTACCTTAAAAGGGGGTGGGACACGGGCACAGTGTGTATGTGTGTGTGTGTGTGTGTGTGTGTGTGTGTGTCTTTGTATGTGTGGGGAGGGAAGAGGGGGAGAGTAAATGAGTGATGAATTGGCTTAAAGGTAGGGGATGGGTTGGGGATGGTAGGTTGGGGTAGAGTTACTAGTATAGAGGAGAGAAGAGAGAGGAGAGAGGATTTGGCTTAAAGGCAGGGGATGGAGATGGCGGTGTGGAATGGAGTTACTAATACAGACTCCTGTTTATTGATAAGACTTATTGATAAATCAGGGAGAGTAAGGGATGAAAAAGCTAAAAGAAAAAGGACATCTGGTACCTTGTCCCAAAGGCAGGGCGGATACAGGAAATGGTAATGAACTGAGTCTTAATGTGCTGATTGAGCCCTATGGACTTTCTTTGCTGATGGATTTCTTTGGCGTGCATGGATTTCTTCATGGAGCTGGACAGTTTGTCCATTATTTCATTAAGAATCTTATGTATCTGCTGGTCTGTGTTCCTGCTGTTCTGTTTTCCTCTGTCTTAATCTTACCCATTTTTGTTCAGATTAGATAGCTTTTAATCAATTTATCCTCAAGTTACTGAGGCTTTCCTCCTTTTTCTAAGCCAGTGAATTATTTTTTTCTGAGATAATGTATATTTTAGGTTTCTTTTTGACATGAGGTCTTATTATGCATCCCAGGCAGGCCTAAACTTATGACCAGACTTCTATCCTTGATCCTCAGTGCTGGGATTTGGGGATTATAGGGTTGTATCACCAGGCCTGCCATTAGCTTTTTGCGTTTCCAGTTGAATAATAGCTTTTAGTTCTCTGTGTTATTTTCTAGTTCTTAACTTATTATGACCTTATTTTGCCTTTTCTCATTAAGTATAGTTAAAATAGCTGGTTTGAGATCTTTGTGATGTCCATTGTCTGGCCTGCTCGAGGTCCATGGGTCACATTCTACCGCAGTGTGTCAAGTCATTCTGCATTGGGTCTGGACAGGATTGTGAGTGTTGCACTTGGAGACTCCGGACTGCTTTCTTTTTCACATTCTTCAGAAAAGCATGTTTGTTTGTTTGTTTATTGAACAGGTAATGTGATTAGGCTCAAAGTGCAGATTCCATGTCTTGGGTGGCAGCCCAAATTCCATTTCAATTCGGTTACCCTTAATTCAGAAGCCCGCTTCTGGCGTGTGAGGCGAGAGGGACCTGTGCCCAGCGACTTACAGAGCTTTGGCGTGAGCTCCACTCCAAGATCGCCTCACGTTTGCTTTTCTGGTTTCTTTCTTTCTCCCCCCGCCTTTTTTTTGAGCAGAAAGAATCTGGCATCTGGCACAGGCTGGTTTTAGCTGCCTCATCTGACACAGGCTGGTGACTGCCTTCAGGCTGGAAGCTGCGACTCCCAAGCAGTTCATGGAAACCGGAGCAGTAAAGACTTGAGCCAGGACCATTCTTCTCCCACCTGCTGGCTCTACCCCAGACCCTGTTGACTGGCCTGACTCTAGGCTTTCCAGGCGTTTACTACGGTTTCTTCTAGACTTTGTAAAATGGGGACAGATGCTAACTTCTGCCTCAGCAGATCTGAGGAGCTGACAGCAGAAGAGGAGGCTGTACTGTGTAATCTGGGCCCTGGGTGGTTGCACTAGAATCCACTTGCTTCAGGGATGATTTCCTGCAGGGATCAATGCTGGACTCAAGCTTGGTAGTTCCGTGAAGGGCTCTCTGTCAGTGTTCTGGAAAAGGCTCTCCAGCTCTGCCCAGGATGACAGAATGGCTTCCTTAGAAGGTGTCTTTGGAGCTGGGGAAGCTGGAGAATTATATTTGGAAATAATGAAATAAATCAAAAGACGAAGAGTACCCACCTCCCCATAAGAGGAGATTGTAAGAGGTCAAATCATGAGAAGTGAGGCCAAGGAAAGAGATGCTCAAATATGAATTTGAGGACAGACACCGTGACTAATTTTGCTATGCAGCAGGCTAAGGGCAAGAGAGACCGGCTCTGAGATGCCTTGGCTAGAGTGGAGTAGAATTGTATTTGCTGGTTGGGGAATGTGTGGGTGGAGGGGAGGTCATGTAGACTCTCTCCGGAGGAGAGGGAATGAGAAGAGGCCCAGAAGAAAATGTGGTTGTGGTGTGTGTATGTGTGTGTGTGCCCGTGTGTGTGTGTGTGTGCGCACATGCATGTGTGTGTCCACATGTGTGTGTGTGTGTGTGTGTGTGTACATTCACATGAACCGTATTTTGTTTATTTTTCTTGTAAATATGGGAGAGACTGGGGACAAGTTTAAGTACTGGCAGAAGGGAGACAGCAGGGGAAAAATGTGAAGCCATAGGCTGGGAGACGAAGGTCTCGGGGAGGGCAATTTAGGGGAACGGTTGCAGAGAGAGCTTGACTTTGGCAAAATGGAGGGATGCCTCCAAAGATTACATTTTAATTTGATTGATTCCTTGGCTACTATAATAAATCCTGAAATTTGCATAAATACTAAGCTATTTTAAAAAGTAACTGTCGCTTGGCTTCTGTGAAAATTCTCCATTCCCACTTCCAGGCAAATGATTTTCATTAGCAATTATGTAATTTCCCCCCTTCCCTTTTTCCTATTCTTGCCCAACACCTTTCTGCAGCTTAGCCAAATGGTTTGAAGTGAAGTTGCTCTAACTTCCCCAGCAGGACCACTTTAACCTGTACTTAATTTTGGTTTTTAACTCTTGGCTTTCCATGCTGGGTAGCTTTTTTACAGCTACCTACCCGGAGGAAGCTGAGACCTGTGCCCTTTTCTTCCCCTCTTTATTCATAGTCACAGTGAGGCTAAACATTGGGAAATGTACCACAGGAAGAGAGGAGCCATTGAGTGCTGAAAATAATTATTAAATTTATGCAATTTCTGGGAAGAATAAAGTAAGTTTTTGTATAAACTCGAAGGCTGTAAGATTATGTGTAATTGGGGACATAAAACTACGCTACGGTTAATGATAAGCTTCAGTGAGTGTTCCCAGCATAAAAATCTAACGAGGAAACAGAAATTCTGATAGAATTCACTCTCTTCAGCCAATGTGACTGCTTCTGGGCCAGATACAAATGAGTCAAACTTTAAATTTAAAAATGGTCCTTTTTTCTGGAGCTGAGAGGCTTTTCCTCCTCCTGTTTATTTGTATGTATAGCTGGTCTGTAAATACAAACATAGATGCACATCTAAAGGAGAATTTGAATTTTCTGTGGAAGGAGATTCAGTAGCAAATCCATCCCCTAAATGTGGCTAACAAGAAATTTTATGTGTCTGCTTCTGTCTTTGAGAAACAACTTGAGGGCATCCCCTGAGCTGGTGAAATTGTGAGCATTCCTTAGCAGATTTCTGTGAATGAACGGGAGACAGGATATTAGACCTGCTTCAGTTTTTAGTGTCTGGAGACCCTTGGAAGATGGCACCTTGGAGGAGAAATAGAATTTTTAAGGCAGTCACAGAGCTTTGGGGTGGGAGTCCTTAGCATGCAAGTTTGGACATCTGACTTTGCTCCTCAATGCTGGTCTTTGATATCTGCTGCTATTTCGTGGAAGTTCAGAGAAACCACAGCCTTGTTAGCCATTACCAAACATAGGTAAGGTCTCCTCAGAATCCCATTCCAGTCCTGGTTAGCCATCACCGAACATACATGAGGTCACCCCGAAATCCCACTCCAGTCTTGGGAGTGGAGAACCTTCCGCTTCCCTCAGGTATGTTCTCTTCAGAAGATAAACTTTTGGCAGGAAGTTAACTCAGGCTAACTGGTTTTCAGGTGGACTTTCAAGGGTTTCCGTCTGCGCAGCCCGTGGAGGCTTTAGTTGGTTCCTTGTATCTTGCTGCAATTGGTTGAGTAATGAGCGGTCACTATGAGGGGATCCTTCATCTAAGCAGAGTGCTGGTACGGAGCTGACCCTTGGCTTCTTGTTTAGCTTCTTGTCAGCCGGCTCCCTTCATAATTCCCACTCCTACAATCAGCTTCCAGATACGGGGTCACTCAGCTTCCCTTCGCTGGGAGCGCACAGTGAGGTGCCTGGGAAGGCAGCTGAGGCAGCAGATGCTATTCCTGCTACTGAGATCGACTTTAAGATGTCCCCACAGGGAATTATGGGAGCTCAACGGAATCATCTCCCATTTCTCGCTTGCAGCCTCAAAGAGACCAGTTCTCCTGCTTCCACGCTCCTTCATCCCACCAAGCATGCGCAGGACCTGCTTTGGGTTTACTGACCACCCTGTGTATAACTCATGCAAGACAGGTTACAGTGGAGCGTGTCACCCTTGCTACTCAAGCATGGCTCAGTAATGCCCCACCGGGCTTCAGCCTGGAAATAGGTTTTATTAGTGTTTAGCTTAATGTTTTCCTGTCCGGAAACCCTTCCCTTCCATTGACAGGGCTGTTCAAGAAAGCATCTTTAGGGAAAGAGCTACTTTTCCCTTGTCCTATTTGGCCACATGGGATGGATCCAGGAAAATCGGTTTGTTTTGGGAGGAACTGGTAGCACGCAGAGAAGGGCAGTGGAGGCCTTGGCAGTAGCCTGACTCAGTTGGGCTTGGCCAGGGGGCTTCTGGTGATGGGCAGCTGCCACCTGGGCCTGTCATAGCTTGGGCTGGGTTGGGAATGCACGATTTTGCTCTGGTATAAAGCATCCTGTCTTTTCCATTCTGTTTCTTACCCATTGACATAATGGGGGGGGGCTCTGACCACGGTAGAAAGCAAAGAAGTGAAGACTTTGTGTGTCTATTGCATTTTCCCTCTTCTGGGTTTTCTGTGAGGCTCAGAGTAGAGGGGATAAATATTAGCAGGAAAAGCTCCCGAGAACACAGAGAGAAAGGTGAGTGTTTCTGCAAAGCCGATGTTAGCCCCATGAGAGGGCTTGGATGGAAGGCAGGTGGGCTATCAGCTACAGAACAGTCCTCCTCCTTAGTGAGCCTTGTGGTTGACACAGGTGTGAGTAGGGGCGAAGTCAGGGGACAGGTCTGGGACGACTTGTCAATTGCGCTAGAGAGCTGGGTTTTATCTGGAAGGCGTTTTAAGCTGGTGGACAAACTCATTTTCCTCCAGTATGTATTCTGGACACACCAAGACAACTGAAGCAGAAGCAGGAAGATGGGGAAAGATTGCCACATGGCCCATGGCCCAAGTCAAAAAATGGTTGAGATCTGGACCAAAGGGCAAAAAGATCTCCAATGAGGAAGAGGAGCCTGGCTGCTCTTGATGACTGACAGACTCTGGGGCTTTGAGGGGAGGAGTCAAGGATGACACCCCAGAGGCCAAGCGGTCAAACATTGGCAAAAAGTGAGTTAGAGTGTCACGTTCCAAAGTAGAAGAGCGAGGAAATGGGAGGAAGATGGAGTAGAAAATTCAGTTGCCAGGAGTCGAGTAGGCCATATTGTCTTTTTCTAAGCAAGGACCCCAATGACATATGCTTATTCTTCTCCCAGGAGAGATTTTGGGCTTCACAAAATGGTACCAGTGAAGTTCCATCAGCCTGACCCATACATCCCAAGTGAAGAGACTATGGATTTGCTCACCACATACAAGCAAGATTTTAACTACCTCCCTGTCTGTCAAGTTGGCCTCATCAAACCTCGGGACACTAAATTTCCAAACGACAAGATACAGTATCTGCCTACTTACAAAGGTGAGAGGAAGACAGAGGAGAGGATGGGTCAGCCTGTAGACTCTCCAGGAAATGGTTACATATGTATTACCTTAGGGCAAAGGTCAACAAACCATTTCCTGCCAGCCAGATCCAGCTCTCAGCCTACTTTTGTACAAATGGAAAGCTAAGAATGGCTCTATAATTTTCTCTAACTGAAAAAAATGATGATTTCAGGGCATGCTGAAGATTGTGGAATTCAAAGCTCACTACTGATAGGCACATTATGTTGGAAGAGAACCATAGCCATTCTTCTGTGCATCTACTATGGCTGCTTCCGTGCTGTAGTGGCAAAGCTGAGTGTTCATGGCAGACTCCATTACAGGAATGTGTAATATCTTGACTTTGTATAGAATATATTTATGATCCTGTCTTAGCCTCTGTTTGAATCTTACAATGGGAAATCTGTTCAAGTTTAAGCTAAGATTCTACAGTTTGATAATTTCATTCATCCAGCCAAGAGAAATTTGAAATATAACATGCATACAGAAAAGTGAATGCATTGTAATTACACAGACCTATGAATTTTTACTGGTTACACACAAACAGTGCTTGGCCAAAAAATACTATATCCACAGAAGTGGAACACAACCATTGTGCTGACTTTTATTTTTTCTTCCTTTGCCATGCTGGGGAGTAGACCCAGGGCCTTCCAAACACCAGACAAATGCTCTACCTCTGAGCTACATTTCTTGCCCCATTATACCGTGCCATAATAATTTAATATTATAAATTAGTTTTGCCCTGTTTTAATTTTTATATGTTAGATTGATTTTTAAAAAAATGTATATTTTAAATTGATATATAGTAATCATACCCATTTATAAGGTATGAGTTGGAATTTTGATATGTATGTACACTTTGTAAAGTTTCCAGAAATGTCTTTATCTTTAATTTATATATTTAATTTTCTTTTGACTTGTGTATATGTGTGCATCTGTGTGAGTATAAGGCATGTGAAGGTATGCCCAATGAAGCCATAAGAGCTTTGCCTCTCCTGGAATCATCATTACAGGTGGTTGTACAACACGGATGCTGGAAACCAGACTCACGTCCTCTGGAAGAGCAGCAAATGCTCTTAGCCACTGAGCCATCTCTCTAGCTCCCATTTTTAAGATTTATTGTTTTTCTTTGTGTGTAATGTTTTTGTCCGCAGTGTACTATGCCAGAAACACAGACATATTTGTGTCTCTTCGTAGTGCTTTATTGAAAAACAACCCATAAGCTACTTTGGATTGATTGGTTGCACATGGCCAATTAGTTTTGATTTCCCTTTGATGTTGGCCGGGGAAAACACAGTATCTTTTATTCCAATCCAATTACTACTATTAACTCTGGGATTATGCATTACACATCACTCAGCAATTATAACTCTCTGTATGTAGGCTTCAGAAGGACTGCAAAAGAGCTGAGGAGACTGTAGAAGTCAAAGGGGCCTTACCCTTAAGGCGGAGACCTGTTGCTGATGCACAGGCTTCTCTGTGGGTGGTTAGATACATTATTAACTGGTCCAGTTGGAGAGCTGCTGCAGGGTCTATAGAGCTGAGATATGGAACTATGGGAGCTGCAGAACTGTGGGGGTGGCAGGGGTGTGGGAGGAGCAGGGCTGGGGGGGCGGCAGGGGCGGGGGGGGGATGGTAGCAGGGGTGTGGGGGCGGCAGAAGTGCAGGTTGTAGAGGTGCAGGCCAGGCCCCGTTGGGAGACAGGATGTATGGATGGACTAGATGCTTCAGTTGGCCTTGTCAAGCAGTGGGGACCATGCTGAGCGTGAAGCCCAGGAGAGTGTGTGGGGGGTTATTTGCTGATGGATCTCTTGAAGGACATATTGGGCGGCCAGATGACGGGTCTGTGGGTTCATGGTCATTGCTGTGTTATGGATTCTACTCCTTTTGATGGTCAGGTGAGGGTATTACACTCTTTTGGTTTTCATAGGCTTGATAAGTTCTTGGACCTGTTTTTCTGATATGTTTTTAAAAAAGATTTACTTTTATGTATGTGAATGTTTTACCTGAGTGTCTGTATGAGCACCATGTGGGTGGTAGGAACTAAATCCAGGTGTTCTGGATGAGCAGCCATCCCTTATCCCCCTGATGTGGTTTTAGTACAGCCATCTGCTCCCACATTATATGGTAAGTTCATAGGTGGCATCTTTGTATTCTTAGGGAAACATCGTCATTTGTATATCATGGTTAGTATCGGATAGGTGGTTCAGCAAGAACAACAGAGTGCAGAGCCATCTTCTTGCCTCTGCACTCAAAATGGAGTCACCCAGGACAAGGCGCAGCCAGAAAGTATTATAGTCTCTGGCAATATGGAGTAAGCCCCGCCTCTACAATTTTCATCTTCTCAAACATCTCTCTGGGGTGAAAACACTCAAATCCTCATCATTATTACCTTTTACTTTCATTAGCATATATTAATTGCACAGACAGATGGGTTTCATTGTGGCATTTTAAAAAATATACACTATGTATGTTAGCCATATTTACCTCTCTGTTACCCTCCCTTGTCCACACCTCCCCTCTCCTCCTGAGTCTCTTCCTGTTGTAATGCAGAGCGAGTCACGTCCAGCTAGCCCAGCTAGCTTAACCCCCAAATAACCACACAGAAGTTGTATTAATTAAAACACTGCCTGGCCCACTATCTCTAGCCTCTTATTGGCTAACTCTCACATCTTGATTTACCCTATTTCTATTAATCTGTGTTTACTACGCGGTTGTAGCTTACCAGGAAAGCTTCTAACCTATGTCCATCTCAGGTAGGAGAAACATGGTGTCTGTCACACTTCCCTTCTTTCCAGCATTCTGTTTAGTCTACTCCACCCATCTAAAGCGCTGCCCTATCTTTATTCAACCAATGAAAGCAACACACAAACAGAAGAACCTCCTACACCATCTTCCTATTTCAAGTAGTTCCCCTTTTCATCTGATATCTTTGAAATCCACACATTTCCTTTGATACCTGTTACATGCTAGGCATCAGGCGAAGGAGCATGATGGCCAGTCTTTGACCTTTCAGTAGAGAGACAAACTATGTTGTCCTGTGGACTGGGCCAGCAGAGTGGCAATCCCCACTGTGTAGCTCATAGCCACATGGCCCGAGGTCAGGGAGTGAGAGAGTGGGTTTGTCATCAGTAACTCGTCACGCTTGTCATGCCTCCTGCTGTTCCAAGAAGACAAGCTAAACAGTTCGTGTGGAACATTTTGGGGGCCTCTGTGGGAGTGTGTTGAGGGTTGCTTTTATTAATCAAGCCAAGCGTTTGGGTGGGAGGTGACAGTGGAGGAGGGAGAATGCAATCCATCTGCCAGGGAATCCTGCATGTTGTTGGTCTTCTCTGCTTAGTCCTGGAGCTGATTCTGAGGTGGCCTGGACTTTGCCCTTTGACTCGCTCATCTTTTGTGTCCCCATCTTCCTCGTTCTATAGCCACCTCTGTCAAGCCATATTCTCAGCGTTATTATCCTATGAAACATGAAGGGTTTGTGACCCCCAAGCCCTATTTTTCTTGTTTGCTTTCTTGTCTACATCCATGATGACTGTCCTCAGTATTGCTGGAACCTCTGGGTCATTGACACGTCTGCTTTTCTCTACATCAGCACTGCTGTCTGTCCCTCCTCATGTAGTTTCCTCCCTGATATTTATTTCCTCCTTGAAGCCTGCTTTTTAGCAATGTCTCAAAGTTTCTCCCTTCTAGTGTGCTGTTGCTTCTTCTAACAGAACCCCAGTTCTGCCTCTGCAGGTCTGCTCTTGAGTATTCCCCTGAGCACGGCTCTGAGGAAGGCAGTAAGGGACTCCTATAGGGCATGCTCAACCACAAATTCTCTCATCCTTACTATGCACTGTGAGCACCTTTGATCTCAGTGAGATACAGGCTCTTCAGTGTAGCACAATTAATAAAAACTCAGAGACAGATGTTGGGGTTCAACCTGAATTCAGACCAGAAAAGCAAAGCAGTCAGCCACTGGCTCTTACCTCTGCCTCAGTCCAAAAATGATTTTGCTTCCAGGAATCAGAATGAGTTTGAGCCTGAAACCAGTTTCTTCCCATCTTATATTCCTCTCTAGTGCTGGGATTAAAGGTTTATAGCACTACCACCTGGTTTCTATGGCAAACTAGTGTGGCTACTGGGATTAAAGGTGTGTGTCACCATTGTCTGGTCTGCAAGACTGACCAGTGTGGCTGTTTTACTCTCTGATCTTCAGGCAAACATTTATTAAAATACAAATGAAAATTCACTACATTTCAGAGGAACTGATTGCTTAGTTCAGTTTCCTCATTTCTACCCAAGTATAGTGTCAGATCTGGGAATGAAGACCACACCTTGCTTAGGCAATGGCAAGGATGGAGAAAGTCCTATAGTGTTTATTTCTTATTGCCCCCAACAAACTGTTTACTCCTCAAAATAAACAGACAGAAATTATAAAAGCAAATACTCAGGTTTCAATCCCTTCTACCTCCAACTTTCCTGCACTTCTCCCTAGTTTATCCATCTCAAACCACCCCCTGTAAAACCACAGAATATTCCACTGCTGAAACTTAACCTTGGCTTATAGTAAAATGGAACAGTCTTTAGTGATAGTTCTTTCTTTCTTTTTTTAATGACATCATCTTATCCATTTATGCTGCTGTGAAAACAAGCCCGAGATGCAATACACAGAGTATGTTCTTTCTCACGTGATGGATGCTGGGAAGTCAACAATCGAGGCATCGGCAGGTTCAGAGTCTGGCAAGAACCCTTAGTTCCAAGATGGTATTTGGTTGCATTGCCTTCGCAAGCTGAAAGGGAGGGCACAAAGGGCCTGAGTGAGTTCCCTCTGGTTCTTTTAAGGACAGGCCCCTCATGATTTGGTGTGGGAGAATTGTCTGTATTCTGTCAATCATATTTTAATAAAATGCTGATTGGCCAGGCAGGCAGTATAGGCAGGAAAGCCAGACAGGAAGTAGGGGTGGAGCAATGAGAACAGGAGAATTCTGGGAAGCAGGG